ATGTGCTCTTAAGATGGCTTTAAGCAAGTGTAGTTGGTAGGGGGGGGGCGCCTACTACTACTACTACTACTACTACTACTACTACTGCTACTATCACTGCTACTACTACTACTACTACTACTACTACTCCTGCTACTACTACTACTACTACTACTACTACTACTTCTGCTATTTCCGCCCCTACTGCTACAACTGGTGGTGCGGCTCCTGCTGCTACTACTGCTGCTGCCACTGCCACTGCCCCTGCCCCTTGTGTCAACCCTGCCCCTGCCGCTGCCTTTGCCACCGCAACTGCCACTGCTCCTGTCACTGCAACTGCTACTACTGCTGCTGCTGCTATTGCTGCTGCTACACCTACTGCTTCCACTTCTACTCACTTCCACTGCTACTACTGCTGCTACTGCTACTAGTGCTACAATTGCAACTATTGCTACTATTGCCACTGCTGCTACGACCACGACGACGACGACTGCAGCAAGGGCGATGACCGCGGCAACTGCGACTTCCTAATACTTGTGATTCCGATCTCTTGTGCTTTATTCAATATTCATCCGATGCTTCTCTAGTGGTCTGGATCTCCGTCAGGTGCTGGTCGGCGTGCTTCCCGGAGATCCGAGTGCTGCAGGGACTGCTAACATGGGAGAAAGGCCCGATGCCGGCCAGTGTTTGACACACCGCTGGTGCCCGTGAAGACGGACAAGAGCCCTCAACAAATAGACTGTGAAGCCTCAACGTCTAGCAGGTCGCAGAGTCCAACGAGTTAGCAGCTGCAACTAGCAGAACCGAGGATGCCTCGAGGCACTCCGAGTGAAGCGGGTTTAAGGCGGCCACATCCTGCAGCACCTTACAATATAAATTTCCATCGCACCACTCACTGATTCGCGCAGACATTAACCTCTGCAGTCTTTGTCACTGCCTGGAGGTTCACAGCATCTCGAACCGCTCGCTCCCTTGAAAAGTTTGGTCTTCGACAACTTGGTGAGCGAGGGCCGCCAGGCAGAAAATATCCAATGGCGATTGCACAGTTGGCGCATCGTCCCGTTTAGCCGTGAGAGACCTGTGATTTAAGCGAGGTTCCTTTGGGCAAATCTTCGGTGGCACTTGGTGCGGTCGCAGAGTGGCCATCAAGGTGGAGAGCTGCAACTCCAAGATGCCCTATGTCGCATAGAAACTTTGGGCAGATGCCTCCCTGCCACCCGTAGCTAGTTCAGGTTGAGGCCCGAGATGTCTCTGTCCATTAGTCTGCTGAGACCCAGGTTAGCACCAAGCGCGTTGCTCTTGCTCGCCAGTCGGATGCCATGTGCGATTCACGGGATCCATGATCCATGTATAGGTGTTGCGCAGTGAGAGCAGTGGCATCGAGGAGGCGGTGTTGATGAAGCATCTCGTCTGCATCGATCATGTAAAGCTGAAGCAGGAAGGAGGTGTGAGAACCATGTGGTGCGACCACAAAGTCGCCAACCTCACAATACAGGATCGCAAGACTTCTGTGCATGCCGGTTCAAGCAAACCTATCAAGCCCCTTCATGGGGTCACCTCCCGAGTCTGTTTGGCCACCACACACGGCGAAACGTCATGGCACGCAAGCAAGAGCTCGGCTATGCAAGCACCCCTGAACGCAGGCATGCAGGCACCGCACGCACACGCGCAGGCACACAGGAACCCGGGCTCGCACCAGGGCTTCCACACACACACACACACACACACACACACACACACACACACACACACAACGCATAACACACAACTCACAACACAAGCAGCACACAACACGCAACAAACAACTGCGCTTGTATAGAATGCCGAATGAGAGTCCGAACATGTAGCGTGGGTAGTTTTAACCGCAGACCGGAGGTCGTTGTGTCACCCCAATGTGGTCGAGGCAATTTTCTTCGCAGAGGCCGTGCGCAATGTCAGACATCAAGTTGCAAGTCGAATAGTTGCTGACCAGGTGGCGCACGAGTTGATGGGCATGCAACTTTGGTTGGTGCAGGCCGGGGAGAAGTGGGCACTCAGCCAGTCAAAGTACAGATTGTTTCCCCAGGAGTTTTGCGATTGTGGCACATGGGGCAGCCACTGCGTTTCGCCTCGCAATGCGTGGGCTGGCCTGTGCGAGGCCTTTGTGTTGTAGTTGATGGCTTGTTCCTTTTCTTGGCGCCCGTAGAACTAACATGAAGTGGCTACATCGTATGTTGGAGGCACGGGATATGTGTGCGGAGGTGTGCTCAGCATGCAACTGGCTGTAGCTTGGCTGCAAGCGCACTGGGGGTTGAAGTGGTTGGTGACAAGCTCGGATGCGTGCAGCTGAGCTGATAGAGACCATTTCCAGATGTTTGGCGCTCCTCTGTGGAAGGACCGCCCTCTGGCATGATGTCTCCACGACCCCACGACGCTTCGCTCACAGCACCATCAACTATTGTTCATGTCTGAGACACAGACATTGCATATAGCGTCTTCTGTCGGGTTGTGCTGCTTTTTACGTCTGTCTGTCTCTCTGTGTGTGTGTGTGTGTGTTTGTCGGTCTGTGGGCTTGTACACCTCTTGTTTTGTGATTGAGGTGGCTGAGATCAACGGTTTATTTTACTAGTTGTGGTGTTTGTGCTATACATTTTTCACTTGAGTTCGTTCGCTTCTTGCGCCCACATAGTTGGACATGTTATCCGATGGTCGTTCGTGTGGCAACAACACTTACAGACTGAATCAGACTGCCACTGGCCTGGTGGCCTTGTGTCTAGATGATACAAGAACATCTCATAACATCTCTCGACCCTTGCATCGTCGCAGCGGTGTGGATGCCTAGCGACACCACTTGCAGTGCAGACCTCTCCTGCTGGGTTCTTCGAGCTTCGCTGCACCAAACTCTGCATGTGTCAGCCGTTGCGCACGGCGGATGTGCTTCGCACGCTTGGACATGGAGCAGTTGTTAGGACGAGTGTCCACTGCATTCCAATCGCCATGACTGATGTAGATGGCGTCGCAACTAGCACTTCAAAACGTCTTCGTCTGTTACATATCGCAGGCATGCAGGGTTGTACAACCCGACACAGGTTTTTGGCGTGACCAGTGTTTCAGCCACGGTGCTGGTGAGATTGGTGCACTTGCACAGCTGCGTCGCGCGTCTAATGTAGTGCTTTCCACACATTGGCCTGCCGAAACACTCGTGGTTCGCGAAGTCCGCTCCAACTGAGCTCGGTGCTTCATAGAACGTCGATTGTGGGACTGATGGCTGTCCCTGTGCTCTCTGCTAGTCTGGTATTTCCCCAAATCAGTGTCGCAGCACCATGAGAATCATGGGGGTCTCGGTGTGCAGAGTCAAGAATTAGATCGCAGTGCCGCATGCGGTTCTGCCACTGCCATTGTGGCACGGTTCGCATTTTTTGAGTTGCGTTTCACGGAACAGCATTGTGCCTTGAGACTTTTGAGGTGTCTGGGTGGAAATCGTGTTCCCACCAGTCCAGTGCTAATTTTGGCCTTCAAGGCGCAGGAAGTCCCACTTTCTTGGCCGCAGGGCTCATCCGGCTGCCACGTACTCTGCATTTTTCTTCCTGAAACCGTGCACGCAGTTTCCACTTCCGGAAATGAAGCTCTTTGGCAGGCTAGTTGTATTGCACGGGTACAAAGGGGGTACAACGATCAAACTCACTCAGCGCCTGGATGATGCCGAGGCCGACCCGTGACCTTGGTCGCTAACATGCCCGCAGGCACGTGCGACTCGCACGATTGCCGACTTAATCTCCATTTGAGTCTGATAGAGGAAATGACACGGGTGTTATTAAAAACGATCCGACACTGTCATCTGCATTGCCAAATCTCATCCAGCAATTGGTTCAAGGGGAATCAAGGTTTTGCAACAATCGCTGTCAGCGCTGTCGGAACGTGTACAAGTGCAGCCTCACATGCAAGTCCATGGAAGTTACTGCTGTGCTTTCTAATGTCCACCCTGCCCAGTCAATTTGTCGTCGGCGTGCATTCAATGCTGCTCCACCGGCTACTGTCCGGCTCACTGTTTTAGTCGCTGCTGTCGTTGCGGAAATGAAAGCTCGAGCCGTAGGCGAGGTGGGCATGATGCAGGCCCGAACTTTTTCCCGGCTGAGTGCCAAACCCCTCTTCTGTGACCCCAGTGCCTCCGCAGGCGCATGCCCCTCTCGCACTACTTCAGGATACTTCAGGTGCGGTAGGGGAAGTACCACGTGGTTGCCGACACGCCAACTGCCAAACATATTGTTGCCAGACCGGCTATTGTCCGAACCATTGTTCCAGTCGGCGTTGTCCTTGCAACGTCCGCTTCGCTGAAGCCGACGCAGATGCTACTTGGAGACTCTGCAGGCGGCGGGACTGTAATGCTGCTGTGACCACAAAAGTGTTTGACTGACTGGGTTCTGTCCGTCTCATTGTCGCAAGCAACGTTGTTCCTGCGGCGTCAGTCAACGAGAAACTGTGGGTACAGGGCTTCGTTATAGGCCGGATTGCACGCATACTGATGCAGTGGATGCGGCAGTCTCACCACCGCTACTGGCAGCTCCATCAGACGTTATGCCTGTCTGTAGGCATGTTTGTCATTCTGCAAGCTGTTGGGTGCTTGTTGCACCTGATTGTGTCACGTGGTATTAAGCCACATCTGCCGGTGTGCCGGGCTGTTGCTTTCCTTCTGCGCGGATCCCCGTGTTCAAAATCTGCTCCGGTCGCGGCAGAGGACATACGACAACATGCCCGCACCCCGTGCCGAGCCGAGGGCAAGCGAGGGCGATCCCCGTACTTCCCTGACAGGGTACGCACGCTGTACGATGCCTTCCGCGCGACCCTGTGGCGACATGCCCGTGTTGAGTTCAGCCGTGGCAAGACCCGTGTATGGAATGCTGCTGGGGAGGAGCCGCCAGGCATCGCCGACGTGCAGGGTGATTCCGATGCTGTCGTATGGACAGGTGACTGGTCCCTTCGCCTGGACCAGCAGGGCCTCCTCGTTTTAAGCACCACACTCGGCAGCAGCGATGCATTCGTATAGAGACAGCTCGAGCTCAAACGTGCTGAGCACGACAAGCTCCTCACGTGCATCCGCCAACTACCTCCTCCGCGTGTTGCCGCCTGCTGCCACCTTGCCCTTTGCTGCGGCGCACGACGGCGCAGTTGACAGGTGCGCGGGCGACCGCTCCCACCAAATCCCTCGAGCCGCCTGCCAGAGTCGTTGAGTTGTACCCTTTTTTTTTTAACGCACCTTTTTCCTGCCCACTTCGTGCATCTGCGTGCCTGGTCGGCGGGTCCTACGTCTAGGCCTAGCACACCTACGGCTACGGCGCTGGGCGCAATGGCAGGCGGCTCGGCCCCTCGGCCTCTGCCGAGGGGCGGGCCTGTCGCGCGGGCTGCATGCGGCGGTAGCGGCCACGGCCTGCCGAGGGCTGTGCTCGTGCGCGTCGCCTTTGAAGCGTCCGCCAACCTCACTGCCGAGCACGACGAGTCTCTGCGGCCCTTCGCTCCGGAGCTCCGGGTAGGTCGCGGCCTTGCGTCGCTCTGCTGTCCGGAGGGCGCAGCGCTGTGCCGTTAGTCGTGGCCCCGTAAATGACCACATCGAGGCGGCGCCGATCATCCGCGCGCACACCGGACGCCGTGTTGTGCACCAGCCATTGCTGTGGCACTACTTGGCCTTCGGCACCCACGGCCTCTCGCGCTACTCGGACCCATGCGTGTTCGAGCGTCTTAGCTCTCCGGGCGAGAAGTCCGGTGCGCGGGCAAGCGAGAGCGTGGTCACCGAACCGGTCGACTTGCCCGCCACAGCCGTGTGTCGGTCCGCATCTGCCGTGGCTGATGGGGAGCGGCATGCGCAAGCGGCGGCGTAGCGCTAGCTGCATGGCTTGCGGCGTGAGTGTGGTGGCCGGCTCTGCTGGTATGGCGGTCAACCACGACCCTGCATGAGGTCCCGCTTGCGAGTGCACAAAGGCCCGGGCGCTTGGCGTCATAGCCGGCAGTAGCACGATGTCGCGAAAGTAATGGTTGCGGGTGCGCGACGCGTAAAACTGCCAGCCATGCGGCCAGTCGCCGGGGCCGGCGTGCTTTGGTGGGACCGGGCGGGCTCCTTGGAGGATTGCTCGCTAGCTTGGGCAGGCCTCCCAGCCTTCTGCCTGCAGCAGCCTCGAACACTACTTGTGGCTTTACGCTCGCCTCCGCCTCAGGGCTGCTGAAACAAAGGTTTGGAACTCCGCTGGCATTCTCCCACCTGGTGTGCTCGCTCTTGCCCCTGACTCCCCGATCTGGGTTGGTGGCCCAGAAACCCTTTTGGCAGAGCGCGGTGTTGTTGCCCTTGGCGTTCCTGTTGACACTCCGACGTTCGTCGAAGCCCGCCTGCAAGCAGTCCTGGCCCGCCAGCGGGGCCTCCTCGACAACCTCCCCGCACTCCATGACTCCCAAGTTGCGTGGCTGTTGCTCTCCTGTTGCGCAGCGTGGCGTGCTCAATATGCCCTCCTTGCATCCTCCCGCTTGAAATCACACACGGCTACACGGCAGGCCACGATGGTGTAGTCCTCCGACGCCTTGCCGCACTGTTGTTGCCGATGAGGGGTCGCAACTGCCTCAACTTGCTCAAGCACGCGCGCAGTTGGCGTTGTGGCACGGCGGCCTCGGCTTGCACTGCGACGCGGCATGCGCCAGCTGCCTACTGGGCTTCGTGGGCTGATGCATGGCGTGCTATAGCCCGCCGAAACCCCGACTTCGCACATGAAGTTGCCGTTCTCTCGCCTCTGACCGGCCACTCCTGTTGGCCCCGCAATCTCGTGACGCCATTGGCTCCCTGCCTGGCTCAAGCGCCACTCCAGCTTGAAGAAAACCCGTCCCAAGACCTCACTCGCAGGTGGCGGCGCCCGGCGTCCCAAGCCGTTGACGACTTTTGCCATAGGGCCTTCTTTCGGGAAACCGACGCTGCCTCGGCCTGGAGTCGCCGCTCTTCCGAGCCATCCTCCTGCGCAGACCTCTGCCAGATGCCGTTGCCGCGCACACCTCGATCCTTGTGGCGACCACCTTGCTGCCTGCCCGCGCTCCGGCATTTTGCGGCCAGGGGAGGCCCGCTCGAGCGCGCTGCTGCTCGCTGGGGCAGCGGTCGCTCTCAACGTGCTTGTCAAGGACGTGAATGTCGAGCCAGCGCGCCAAGACCAGCGACATATTGAGGTCATCGCCAATGGCCTGCCGCTGTGGGGTGGTGCCCAGGCTGCAGTCGACACCATGTTTGTTTTTCCCCTGACTGCTGCCGGCCTCCCA